CATTAATTCTCCTGTGACTGACAGCTTCTTTTCAGACTCCTTTTCTGTTGTTTCCACTGCAGTTATATTATAAACAGCAGAGAGTAAACTCTCTCAGTGAAGAGAGTTATATTTGTCTTATCAGTGATATGAACTCTTAACAGAGAAAAAGGAATTTATTTTTGTTTTTTCTCTATTATACCTAGAGTATGAAAAAAACAGTATAAAATTTTTTTTTAGTAAACAAAACTGAATCTTAAGCCAGCAGTCTCCTTCACCGAGATTGTTCTTTCCTCAATGTATTAAATCAATGATAACTAGATTGAAAAATAGTTATCTTGTGTTTGATTGCTTTAAATGCAGTTTTCTGCTTTGTTATTGCTTCTAATAACTTCTAATAACTTCTAATAAATCTGCGGTCAGTTCAGCAGAATTTCTTTTCTGCATCCTAGTGATATAATCACTATTGAACAACTAGTGAATAGTAGTGATGAAAAAAAAGAAATTGAGTAGCACCCTTGAAATTACATACCGGTAGAATCTCACCATACCCCTTAGTTATTCATTTGAGAGAGTTCAGTGTTGTACTGGGAGTGGCTGGAGCCATGCTGGGACACTTTCCAGTAAGCAAGCGCAAAACTTGTGTAAGTGAAGTACAATGAGGACTTCTGCCTGGAGCACTGTGATTAGGAAATGGATGGGGTTTGGGTTTCACTTCAGGAAATAACCTGATGTAGGTATTTTGTCTTTCTGATACTCTCTTTAGATTTGTTAATTGTCAAATATTTTTCTGTTTTTATATTCAAACTAAGCTAGTTAATGGCCACATGGATTGAGAAAATGATTTTAAATTGTTTGTTTTCCTTTTCCTTAAGTCTATAAAGAAAATGTCCTTTTTTTGCAGATTGCCTCTTTGCAGATTGGTTGGTAAATAAATTCTATACTGCATAATTAAGAATCTTCTTGAGATAATTTCAAATATTGATTCTTACAATAAAGATATTGTGCTGTTGCCAAAATTGGGGGGGGGGGGGGGGGGGGGAAGGGGGGGGGGGGGAGGGGAGGAAGAAAATTGGATACAAAGGGGGAGTGCCACACTAAAAAAGAGATTGGGCTTCGAAATGGAGAAGGTGCAGGACTTAGCTGTAATGAACAATGTAAACTGAGGTGCTTCAGAATCTACTGAACTATGGGGAAGAAAGGCTTTTGTCATCATTACTAATTATTTAAAATTCCTGTTCTTCGGTGATATTAATAATGCACATGGAACCACATTTATTCTGTCTATCTAGGTGTTTTCAATCATAGTCATCACAGCATGTAGGTGCAATGATATATAAAAGATAAAGATCAAGGTCTGATCTCAGTAATATGCTATTATAATCCAGAGTACAGTAAGGACAATTGCATTACTTTTTCCTGGCAAAGCTTACTTTTTTAGCCATATTAAATATTCTTGCTTAGGTTTCAGGATATTTTGTAATTTTTGCAATAGCCTTTTGTCTGTTTTTGTTTTATATAGTTTTTTTAATTTATTGAATATTACTTATTGAAGGCCTTAAATTCAAGGTAGGAAGTAGTGATGAGATTGTTTTCTTTAGTTCTCCAAAAACTTGGGCGAATCCTTTTCTGGAACAATTGCTTCACATGCTATTGATTCTTCTATTTTTCTGGTTTTGGAACTCTGTTTCTTATTTCTAGGGTTGTCTTCCTGGTTCCAGGTAAGGGTGATTGGACTTCGGAAGAAATTCCTTTCCCCTCTGCTGAATCCCATATGTTCATTGTAACTTTATGGATTTTATAAAGTACTGACAGCAGAAATAACCCTTCCAAGGCTATCTTATAAAATGCTCTTAAATATTTTCATAAACCTATTCCTGTTAGTACCCAGTCAGAGAAAGCCTTTTATATGTTCCAGTGCCCTTGCACAAAACCCCCATGATGTTCAGAATACTTTAAAAATTGTCTTGTACTGTCCAACAACATTATTTAATAGCAATTCTCTGACCCTTCTCATCTGCAGTCAGTAACTCATTAGCTGCAGGTAAGGGGTTCATGAGTTGCTGGGTTCAGTTCTAACACAATATACACTCAAATAGGATTTTCTGAACTTTTTTGTTTGGCATAAATCTGTAAGTGGTATTCACCTTTCCTTCTGTGGGAAACATCCCACTGAAGAGTAACCACAGGAGCAAAATACATCCTGACGAGACACTGATTTATACTGTGGTTTTCAGTACCTTTTGGAAGTAAGTTCTCATATTTTAAGATTTAGAGGCTTGGGGTTTTTTGTTATTCAAAAACCAAACAGTAGTCTGCATTCAAATGAGAGCATCATTAGAAGATGTAAATTTACAGTAATGAAGGGATTTTTGTGTTACCTTAAACTAAATAATGTTGTCATAATTATAAAAGCATCTCTAATAAATTATCTCTGCCTATTTTGTCTTACATAGTACTGCACTGTTTGGTATATTCTAGCTCAGAAAGGCCAGATTAATTATGTAGATGTCATGGTGTGTTTATCCCCAACTAAAGTACTTTGTTATGTGGGTTTTGCCACTCACTGGCTCAAGAAAACAACATTTTAATTTTTTTTCGGTTCAGATTACCTAGTAACTTCCTGAACTCTTAAATGCCAATCTGTAATAAAGCAAAACTATTACGCATGGTTTTTTTCAAGTGTCCATGTCAGAAGCTTTTCTTTTCCCTTTTTGAGGGAGGTAACCCAAGTATTTTCATGAGGAAATGTGTTTCATAGATTGTGTATTGCTTGTGTATTCATAGTCACTTGTGTAAATTGGCTCCTGAGATGTCCTGAATACAGCTTTCATTATGCAGCCTCATTCCCCTTTTGGGTAGGAGAATTGGTCATCAGCAGGACTGTGGTATGTGATGAAAAACTCATTCTTGCTGAGAAAAGTACAGTCCCTAGAGAAGGACTGCTAATACGTGTTACTTAGATAAAAAGATCATAAGGCATTATGGAATAGATCCATCTATAAGTATTTTGATTTTTATTGATAAGAAGTAGCAGTATTTCTTATTAAAAGCAGCTATCATGAAGAATAAACATAGTTGTAAATCCAGTTTTCTTCTGAAGCAGTTCTGCAACAGTTTTCATTCATCACTGAATTCCCCCCCCCTGCAAAAAAAGCCAAACCAAACCAAACCAAACCAAACCAAACCAAACCAAAACAAAACAAAACAAAACAAAACAAAACAAAACAAAACAAAACAAAACACACCAACAAAGAAACTTACAATAAACCAAAAATAGGTGGGAATTTTGTAGATTTTTTTCAAGGGACACTGACATACATAAACAAGATATTATACTTTTGTCAGCTATGTACCAAAATCTCCAGGTTGCCAGGAATCAAAACATAACACACTGAATGTCTCAGAGACTAAGGGGGAAGGAGCTCGAGCAGTTATTTGCAAGAAATAGGTGGCAGCTATTGACCATATGCCAGCAACACTGTGGAAAGTGTTTGGGCAGTCTTTATCCCCTACACCTCCAGCGCAACCCTTGAGCCACATGCTGTAGCCATAGCACAGAGATTTTACTTCAGCAGTTCAAGAACACTTCTGTTATTCACCCTTCCTGTAGACCACAATCTCTTTGTTGTTTTAAGTGTACCCTAAAGCTTACATCAGAAATCCTCATCCAGATAGGGCACAGAAATGAGTTGTTGTTTTGTGACCTTTGTATACAGCTTTCTAAAATGAGGGGTTAGATTTGCTTCAGATTGAATTTAAGTATTTGGGCCTTAGGCTATCCTTGCTTTGCTCTGATTGTGCTTTGTGTTTTCCAGTTCTGTTTCTTCAATTCCTTTTGCATTTCCTTTGACTTGAACATGCTGCTATGTGTGTTTACTCACAGTTTTTCTCCCTAGGCTTGAGCAGGGGATACTGAAAGCTTTTCTTCTCTTTCTCTAAACCTCAGCTGAGTCCATGGAAAGATCTTTATCCCTTCTTCTGGAAGAAGGAAGAGCACTGATAGGTAGAAGTCTCCTTTCCCTGCTGAAGCATTTCTCGTCTCTTTAGTCTTTAGCCTGCACCATTCTGGAATCAACCCTGCAGTGAGAGATGCAGTGTTGGAACTACCACTCGATGATAATTTCAATTGCTTTCTGAGTACTGTAGGAATCTCTGTTCCCCTCCCTAGACGGCCTGTGAATTTTCAATGTAGTGAGGCAGTCTTCATTGAGAATGTAGTTTGTGCTGACTAACATCAGAGAATTAAAAAAAAAAAAAAATTAAAATGCCTATTTCTTCATGCAGTGCACAGATTTTGTTGTTTGTGGAGTTTTGGTTTTCTGGTTTGTTTTGGGGTTTTTTTGGTCAAACTTCATCTGCTTGGACAACTAGGTCTCCTGATGTTTTTATGCTGCTATGGATGAGTCTGATGCTGGATGCTAGCCAACACTTCTTAAGAGTGATTTTAGTGATTATTAAGTTCCCACGAATGACATTTCTTTCAAATACTGGATAAAGCTAATTGTTATTTTATAATTAACATGAATACATGAGAAAGTTTTTTAGACAGCCTTTGCAGTCTGCTAACATTTGCCTTGATGAAATAAGAAAATATGGCCATTAATTATATCTTGCAATAAGTCTTTAACTAATATTACTGAAGTCCCTAAAGGACTTGTTCTTTAGAAAATATTAAACCTTGTGTTGGTGTGGTAAGAATGAACGATTATTGCTGATGCTTTTTCTCAAATGTGATCCTGTTTCATAATGCTTTTTGAGGCATGAAGCTGGCATTTCTGGCTGCATATACATTGAAACACATGCTGTGTACCATAGTGTCATACTGTGTGACCCAGAACAGTTTATCTGTTCTTCTTTGTTAAACTGAACTTAGTTTCAATTGCAGCTTAAAAGTACAAGAGGTCTCTGATATGGTCAGTTCTAGAAAGATTTAAATATTTTTTACTCCCTTAAAAAAAAAAAAGAAATAAAAAGCTTTTAAGTGACTCAGCTTTTGTTTTTCCTTTGTGTTTCACCAGTTGAAAAGATACAGAGCCAGTGGGATGAAGTGCATGGACACCTCCAAAGCCGGAGAGAGCAGCTTCATGAGATGTTAAAGGATTCAACACAGTGGCTAGAAGCTAAACAAGAAGCTGAGCAGGTTCTTGAACAAGCAAAAGCTAAGCTTGAGTCGTGGAAAGAAATTTCCTACACTGTGGAAGCTCTGAAAAAGCAGAACACTGAGCTTAAGGTCACTACTGGCAATTAAAATATTTCTGCTTGAGTTAATTAGATTGTTACTTTAACTATTGGACAGTGCACATTAAGAACAACCTCTTTATCCCTTATTTCCCACAAAAAATTAGAAAGAAATTAACTTACAAAGTCTAAAATGTGTGTCACATAATCCTTGAATGAATTTGGTCTTATCAGTCATGACAAATAGCTGGCTGATCTTGCAGGAAGAATACCTACCTTTTCAACACAAGTATTTCTCATCTCTTCTGTACAACAGCCTCAGCTGAGGCACTGGTTCTGCAGACTGGGAAACCCTGTAGTATTGGTATGTCTGTCTGCACTGATAATGAAGTGGTATAGGTTGTCTGGAAGTAATTAAGAAAAGGGAAAAAATAAAGCCCATAAGAAGCTACATGGAGATATTTTGAAAATCAAGCATTTTAGATTTGCCACAAGATAATCTCACTTGGTTCAACCTTGGCAGGGTTATTAACTGAAAAACCCCCGAAATGGCTGCTCTTGTGATTTTAGCACACATGTTGTCACATTCTAGGTGCTAAAATGTGCATTTCAGTTAACTTATGTAGCTGAGCTATACCTCAAGTAGCAATGCAAATATGCCTTAACTGTTGCATGAGGTTTTAAGTTTCTTGTTATGGAAATAGTCATACTTTGGTGACATTCTTCATGAATAAATTTTGAGAACAGCTGTTTCAGATTAATAATATCTCATTTTCTGGTTGAGGAAAACCACGATTGAAACCAACCAGTTGATCAGCTTCTTAAAGTGAGTCCTGCCTCCATGTTAATGGAACATTACATTTTAGTCATTTGGGAGAACAGTTACACAAATATTTTCTGATATGTTCTCCTCTCCTGCCCATCAGATTTTTATTTTTTAACTCCTACCACTCAGCTGTTTGGTTAAAGTTTGTGGATTTAGAACAGTCTTATTTGCATAGCTGAATGGTAATGAACTGCTGTGAGGAATAGTGGGGTGAGGTCCTCATCAACTGGTTTTGCCGACAGAGAAAGTATGTGTATAACTGCATGATTGGTCTTCAAGTTATCTCCATCATCAGTTAGTCATTGCCTTTCTGGTATTTAGAAGTAGATACAAAATCTGTTGGGTTTTTGCTTTTTTTTTTTTTTTTCTTTTTGCTTGCCTTTAAGAAGCATAAAAACATTCATCAGCCCATTGTTTTAGCATTGAGAAGTGGTTAAGTTTTCTCATTTAAGATTACATGCTAAGGGTCATTGCTTGGGAAGGGTGGATTATGGTAAATAAGGGCAATCACTCACTAATGTATTGGAAAGAGTTATACATTATGTATACTACTGTCATTCAGGGTAGAGGACTCCCATTTGTCACTGTCTTTCTGCAGAGATAGAGTTCTGGCTTCTGCCCAGTGTTTGGTTTTAAGAAAAAAAAAAACAAAAACAAAACAAAAAAGCTTCAACAAAGTCAATGTCCCAGCTCTGCAAAGGCTCAATTAACAAAAAGCAGTTCTGTGCAAACACAGTCTTACGTCATTGTGTTGGAGTGTCTTACGTCTCGAACACAAATTACTTAACTAGGAAAACAATTGAAAAATTAGTTTTAGAAATGGATTTTATGTCCACTTTTTTACAAGAATGTATGAGGTTCAGATGAGGTTTATCTAAGAGTGTATGCTTTTTGAAAAAATTATGGGTTTTTTGGATCAACATTCTCCAAGGAGAGAAATAAGAATATGCCCTTCTTCTTCTCCATCCCCCAAGTTATAGAGATAGTACACTAGTATACTTATTCATAGAATGTATCTCTATGTATAAACAGAGTTTTTGAAAGGATATCTGCAGATCCTTTTCACTCCTTCTTTCAAACAGGTGAAGCACTGTCAGTATCTTCAACCATTCCCATCCCAGTCTGGATTCAATGTGACATGTTGTGTCCAGTTACAGACATTAGTCTATAATTATAGTTTTGGTGTCACAGCTTAACGTCCATCTTAATTTGCTGTGCCCTTGTGATGATATGAACATCAACAAGCTCTACTGTTCCACAGTTGTTTACTTTCTTTTGTTTGGTTTTGCCTAGCCTTTCCCTCACAAGTCTGGATGAAATTCACCTCTGTCTTAGAGAATGTGGTGGTGAGGGGTCTTTTCTTTTTTCCTTCTTTTTTTTTTTTTTCTCTTTCTTTTGTGCCAGCCTTCCTAGAGGAATTATCTTTGTCTGCCAGTAATTCCTATTGTGTCAAATCCCTCATGAAAGCTTCTCAGATGTGACAGCATCAGCTGTTGTATTCATGCTTGAGATAAGGGGTCATGAATTCTAAGGAAAGTGGAAATCTTTTTTGAGTTTAGCAGCTTTATATTTCTTCTGGATAGTATTATCTAAACTGAAGGACCTAGAAATACATCAAAATAAATGCTTTCCAGGCTTCTGTGCCAAACACATATATTTTGATGTTGTCCCCTGAATATGTAGATTAAGTATGCTGTCTTTTGGCTTGCTGTTACACTGATGAAAATAAAGCTGTCATTCCTATTCATTTGTGTTGAGGGAAAGTGAGAGGTCAGTGTGAGTCTTAAATAAATTCTTCAGACATATTCATTTTGTCAGCTTTGTATCTCAGCACAGCTTGGTGTGAGAAAGTAGTCGCCAAGTGTTCTTCTGATTTGTTTGTTAAGCATTATAGGTCTACCTAAAGACAGCTGAGTCAATGCAAAAGTTCCCCTCTGCTCTAAGTGATCTTTTAATCAGTGCTTGTGTTAATGTTTTTCTGATAGTGCATCCTTACATATGGGTAAATGGTAAGCTCAACAATACCAGTCTTTTGATTATTTATTTTTTTACAATGCCAGCATAAAACAAAAATCTGTAACTACCTTGTATTTGGACAATGATGTTTTTAATAAAATTTGACACATTTGTTTCTGACATTTAAAAGAAAAGTAACCAAGTACCATATAGCTGACAATTAAAAATATTATTCCTTTGAATCAGAAGTTAATTCAGAGCTAATTTGCTGAGGAGTAGAGCATATTTTCATTCTATTTTTTTAGTTTGATATTTGAGAACTAAATTCTAAGTACTGGGGTTAGCTATGGAGAATCAGAATATGGCATTCTGGCCAATGAGAGTCTTTACCCATTAATGCCCTATTTGTTATTGTTTATTAAGTGATGAGTGCAGATGGTTAACTCAGCAGGCTGAAGGTTATAGGTGTATAAATAGTACACAGTAGCACTTCAGTTCCTTTCTGTCCCCAGGTCATCTGAACATAAGCTAGTGTAAAACTAGTCTCTTCTTAATACAATACTGAACTTTGGTTAAAAAAAATAAACCTGCTAGGATTGCCAGTTCACTCCTTGGCTCCTTGTTTTAGTAAGAGCTAGTGAGGCACCTCTTCACCCTCTGTACCAGTTCAGCTGGGATGGCCAAAGTGAAGAGGAGGAAGGATGGAGACAAGGTTTCCTTCCTTTCCTTCATTGACCACCTATTTCTTGTTCATCTAAATAGGAAATTAAGTAGCAGCCTGATCACATCCTCTGCTCTGTTGGGACTCAAGAGGCCAGGCAACCTTCCACTGGCATAGCCTGGGGGTGTGAACTTTATGCCCTGGATTTGTGGATAAAAGACTGAGGCTATCTTGCTTGCCTTTATCTTCTTCTTGCAGGGGGATAACTTACTAGGTACCCTTTTGCCACTCCCTGTGTACCAATGTAGGATGAAGTACAGTCTGAGCATTTTGTGGATTTTTATTATTCCAGGGCTGAAAGTGTACTGCTTTGATTTTAGTAAAAACACTTAACAATTAAGTTAATGTTATTAACTATGATGCAGGCACTGAAATAGAATTCCTCAATTAAAAAAAAAATTAATTCTTTAGGTATATCAATAAAACATGCTATAGATACACAGAAAAGGGACAGAAAGACAGCCTGATTTTCCAGATTTGTGATACATACACCTGCTCAGTGTGGGAATTTTCATGCTCAGAATTGAATGATGCTGTAAGTACATATTGCTATATTTGAACTTCTGTGCGTCATTTATTTTATTCCACTGGGCCATCCTGGGATAGAAGAAAGCCCAGCTCTAATTTCCTTACTTGTTTTTAATCAAGGATCCTTAATTACACAGACTTTCTTCCTAATAACATCAACTAGTGTCTTCTAATTAAAAATTAAAAATAAATTTATACCTAAGTAACATGATAAATGCACAGTCTTAATTCTTTAAACCTTTTAATAAACTCAGCAAATTCCAGTGATGAGACAGACAAAACAAAGAGAATGCTTTAAAAAATGTCAAAATGAAATTAAGGTAATGAAGCATTTTCCCTTAAAAAGAAATCGTATGTATTCTTAAGGAGCTAAAAGATAAATGAGACCTAAAAATATAAAAGGGAAAAGAGAAAGAAAGCTAATGCCAATAATTTAATTCTAAAATATTCATTATAGTCATGTAAGATAGGAGTTAATGGGTCTCTGGTAGGACAGACAGTTAAAACATTTACCAATACACTTTGTTCTCGGTGTCTGTGCACAGAGCAAAGTTGAAGCAAGGCATGCCCTCCTCAAAGTTGTTGAAAAATTACATACCAGTTTCCAATAAAGTAGAAAATACAAATTGTTTCTGTCGGGAAAGCTCTCTATATTCATCATTTCTTTCCTGAGTGATGATCTAGTGTTGTAATGTCAGGAAGAGAATGGATTAATGTTGAAGTTAATGGTGAGAATAACACTTTTGGAAATAGCCTTGTAATGGATCTTTCTGTATTTTTATTATAAAACTGGGTTTGGAAGGTTTTATCAGGTCATTTATATTCACATGGGACTGGGCAAAACGAGCTTATTTTCAAAGTAAAGTTTACAGGCCATTAATTTACAATCAGACAAAATGTTATGGTAACTTTTCTATGTAATGCAGTGAATAGTCAGTCTGCTGTGATTCTTTGGCTGGAAAAAAGTAGCTGTATGCATGCATAATTTTAAACAAAGAGAAAGGTAGAGTATAATGGAGATGGATAGACCTAAATGTAGAATAGATACTTGCTGTAAAAGATCTACAAAACTGAAATGGTAATTATTGTAAAATTTATTTGGTTTTGGTTTTATATATTTTATTATATTTGTGTTAATATTAACATTTATATATTTATTGTATATAATTCTGGCAGGAAAGGACCTCAATTGGCAGACTGTTTTCAAAACAACCACCTGCCTATATCTTCTCCAAAGGAATGGTAGTGTTTTTCCACAAAATTATCACCTCTCCTGACTACATCTCCATACTTAACACAGGGGAATGAATTTTAAAAATTATTTAGGCAGCTTCAGCTTAAGTGAGCTTAACCATAACATGTTCAGATGGTTTTCAGGAAGGGGGTTTAGTAGCCTTCTCCTAATGCTTGATTGGCAGAAATAGGATCCCTTGTTCAAAACAGATAATCAGGTTGCTGTCTTAGTACCTGAGGTTATCTGCTGCACAGTAATTGGGTGATCTGCCCTCTCATGAAGGAATAACACAGGAAAGAGAGGGAATACGTGTTCTCAGATTTACATTATGGAGAGGACCTAGAGATGTTGAAGCAGCTTTTTAACAGGTAGGAGTTTGGGGGAAAAATCAAAACCCCCCAAAACTCCACCTGAATTCTATTCAAAGATCAAGTACATTTCAGTCCCAGTCTTAACCAAAATCAACTTTCTGAGTTTCTGAGATGAAAACATAAGTGCACTAAATATTCAAAATATATTTATTTTTACTTAGTATTTAGACTCTTTAAGCAGGGATTACATATTTAAGTTCAGCTTTGTGTGGAGAATTCCTTATCTGAGTCAAAACAAGATTTCAAAAGGAATACTACTTAGGGAGAATGAGAGGGAAAAAAACATTTTTTCTTCACAGACGTTTCCTGGTTTGTGTATTAAAGCACAACAATAAAGACAGTCAAACCTTACTGGTTTTTTTTTTTTTATCAATAGCTCTAATGTTTACGTGCAACTTACTGTTTCTATATCCAAATACAAACTTATTTTCTACTTGTATTGTCCCTTTGATTGGCTAGTTGTAGTCTTTGCCTAGTAAATAAGTACAAATAGACCATCGATTATCTTTGCTCTTTCATTTTGTTGTTATACATTATGGATTAAATATGCAACTTCAGTGCATTTATATGGAAATTTGCTCTGAGAAAAAGACTAACAGGAAAGATGCATGGGAGCTGGTTGCTGGCTGACTGAGTGTTCCGGATTTCCTGGCTTGCTTCTGTAGTGAGACAGCTAGCCCAGGTGGAGAGGAGAGGCAAGAGGAGAGAAGAAAAAGAGGAGACGAGAAAAAGGAGAGGGAAGGGAAAAGAAAAAATGACCAGGGTTTCAAAACTTTGTTTATACTAAGAAGCATAAATTAGCATTATAAAGATATTGATAGGTTTACCAGCACTATCTTGCTGTATTGCAGATTTAGTACTGTTCCAGTAGATGGCACTAATTACATAAACAATTCGCTAAAATAAAGTAAATTTAAAAAAAAGTGAAAGCACAGGTATTAATTGTTCAAATCTCAGTATTATTTCACAGGATAAAAAAGAAAATTAGATAGAACATATTATTTCACTATATTTTCCATCTCAGTGTAATTTAACATCACAAATCGTGATAGTTTGCATAATACATAATAATGCATCCATCTATTTGTGTCTCAGAAAAGAATAACCAACATTCTAATCAGTGGTTATCAATTTGAGCTGTCGTGTTTTATCTGGCATTTAGGATTTTGTTGCTTGGTCCTCTCAGAGATTAGAAGTAGTCCTATGGTCTTATGACTAAAAGAATTTAAACATGTAGAAAGACTCTGACTTTAGTTACCAGTAATTCTGAGGAAGTTCTTTTTCTTTTTTTTATATTGATGGTATAAGTTGTTCATCTACTTCTCTAATAATCGTACAATGTGTGTGACCATTTTATGGTGATCTGAGGTTTATTCTTTTTCTTTCTCTTTTTACTTCAGCAATTTTCAAAAGAAATACGACAATGGCAAATAAATGTAGATGTGGCAAATGACATGGCACTTAAGTTGCTCCGTGATTATTCAGCAGATGACACCAGAAAAGTAGAACTGATGACAGATAATATTAATGCGACGTGGGCTGCCATTAATAAGAGGTAGGATATAAATTCTGCTATTAGATTTGTTGTTAAACTTCATTAACATTCCTTTTCCAGCTTTGGTTGGAGATTATAGAAGATGTAACTTTTGAAAATTACATGAGTATAGTGAGAAAGGAAAGAATGATGAAGACTCTTCTCTCATATTTTTTGGAAATATGTCTTTGGAATGCCATTTAATTCTCTCAAATAAAATTTTGCCTCCTGCCAATTTTCGTGTGCTATAACCAGTTGCCAGCTAACTTCAGTTGATAGGTTACATGTTTTAAATATTTCAGATGAAGTGTTTCATATTTCTATGTACTATCTCCACATCACAATCACTATAGTGATTTTGAGTCATAGACTGAATCTGAAAATGACAGGCATATTTGAAGCAGGTTCAAAGTAGAAATGTTATCCTGTACCTTTGAAGCAAATCTCTAGTCAAGAAAGTTTTTATTAGATCCTTGATCACATTCTTGATTACATTTCACAGTCATGCAGTGTTTGGTTTAGATACCAATTCCTTACTAAAAGCAATTTTTGCAGCTTGCCACCAAATTGTGAATCATCCCATACGCAATCTGTAAGATCAGAACACATTGCAGAAGAAAAATTACTTTCTTTGTAGTAGTAAAAGAGTTTTAAATCATTGCACATTAGATGAGATACGTAAAAATTATATCAAAGTTGTTTTAATCAGTATCTTGGATTAAGTTTTATAGCTTATAACTGAAACTAGAACTGAATTAGATCTTAACATGTTTTTAATTAAAGTCTATGAACAAGGCCAGAAAAGCCAGCTTAGTTAAATATACAATAAATTCAGATCTTCTTGCATAATGGAAGTTACTTAAATCACTGATGACTACAGAAATTTTTTCTCACTTTTTAATTTTTTTATGAAGTTGATATTCATATGAATGAGTCACTTTAACAGCATTTTTTCTGAAGCAGACTTGCCACTGACTTAAGATCCTGTTCAAATGAGAGAAGAGATTCTATTAGTGCCCACTAAAAGAAAGCCACATTAATAATTTGAAAGCTTTTTTTTTTAACAAGAGCAATAACTATACTGAGAATTTAGTATAAACATTCAGTTAATATTTGCTTGCATTTCTTCTGTTATAGTAGTGGCCATTTTAGCCTTACTAGTAGTAGCCATATTTTTAAGACTGACTTAAGATCCTGTTCAAATGAGAGAAGAGATTCTATTAGTGCCCACTAAAAGAAAGCCACATTAATAATTTGTTTTTTTTTTTTTTTAACAAGAGCAATAACTATACTGAGAATTTAGTATAACAGTTAATATTTGCTTGCATTTCTTCTGTTATAGTAGTGGCCATTTTAGCCTTACTAGTAGTAGCCATATTTTTAAGAAAACATGTTTTGCTCTCTGTGGTCTGAGAAACAGGCTGGGAGGGAACATCTGTTCCTAGATGAGAAAGGCTGGGTGTCTAATGCTCAAAACGATTCCCCATGAGTAGGTAAAATCAGTAGCTCAAAAGGGTTAGATGGAAGAACCAAAGGAAATTGCTTTTGTCTGCATGTAGAACTACAACCTCTGTTTGGTGAGAAGGCTTTGTAATCCTGAAGTCCAGGATATGTCTGTAGCTGCTGTGGATGCTCAGGTAGCAATTGTAGCTAGAGTGCATCTTCAAATCTGTTAATGCTTCAAGCACAAACCCAGGTGTGTCTAATGTTGCCTAAATGTGAGAATTGCCATTGTTGCATAGACTCAGCCAAGTACTAGGCTAACAGAGAGTACAAATTCTTCAGGACACATTTCTTGCAAGCTTCTACAAAACCAACAGACTTGCTCACAGCTCATGTGTTAGATGAATTACTGTAGTATATGTTTTATGTCTTAGAAGAGAGCTATTTAGGTGACTGAGTAGACATTTCCCATTAAGAAGTACAAAAAGATAGGATTAAGCTTGAACAGGTAACTGCAAAACTAGAATTTCCTAGTTTTTGATTGTATGACTTTACTACCTTTCTAATATTTTTTTTTAATTCAGTGTTTTGTGTATAATTTTTGTAAGACTTCTCATGATTTGTGAGCTTGAAAAAGCAGCACGCTGCAAACAGTAGTTGATAAGCTTCTCTAAGGGCTGTATCGCATTTCTGTCTTTTGTGAGACATTGATAAATATGGACATGCTAAGGCATCAAGTCAGCAGAAGACTTGTACTTGGAAGATTTTCTGCACCTGTACGTTTTTCAGCTTTGTTTGAAGCAGTAGCCAGGCCTTTTGCTCATGGAGCAGATCCTGAGTGAGGTCTTGAAAGAACCTCCTAGATTTCTTGGAAAGAGAAGATGGAGTCCATGGGCCTTTGAATGACTTAAATGCCTATTTGTTCTGGTTTTGGGGTTTTTTGTTTTGTTTTGTTTTTCCATCCCTCTATGCTTCAGCTTTCAGGTTATTGTGTAGAGCAAAACAAATTGTTTCTTTATGGTTTCGGGGATCTTTTGAACGGTAAGAATATTTACTCAGTAGAAAGGAGACACGTGAACTGTTTGTCACAAGCTCCAAGAAAGGCTGGTTCTCCACTGAGATGTGTATGCAATAATTTCAGATATATCCATGAGTGTTATTTTCATCTAGATCATGAGTAAGAACTGCTCTGGTGACTCAGTGACCTAGTAATGATGTAGAAATATATTCCAAATAATGGTCTTAACCATTTCTCTAGTATTTTAGAAATAGTTTTGTCACTGTTTATAGATGTCTTGAGTGCCAAGAGGAAATATTCTGCTAAAGATTTTGGTTTCTTCTCCCTATATGCTTAATTTAAATGGCCTAATTATTTTGTGGATATTTCCTTTTAAAAAGAAGAATTAAGAGTGGCTTACATTGCTTTGAACTGGTTTTCCTCTAACCTGCCATTACTATCAGAAATGTGTGTCAGTCTAAAAAATGTGAAACCTCCTTTTCCATAGTAAAACAACAGGTAGGCAAGCAGCAGTAAAATTCCGCTTTGCCTGTTGGTAATAGTTCAGGCAAAGCGAGTACTTTAGTCATTAAGGCAACATCTGCCAGCTTGTGTTTTGTTTTGCTTAAGTAGGTTTGCAGCTGATTGCTGTGTGTTTACCCTTTGCCTTACTATTCTGTTTTACAACATTGAACTGTAACAAGTAACATTGTAACTCCTTTAATAGCCAAGTTGGTGAGTGCTTGATGGTTGCTTCAATTTTTTCACTCGCCACTTTTTAATTTTTATTTTTGTTGTTGATACTGCAAAGATACACCAAAAAGCTCATGAACTGATCAGCTGGGCAAAAGCCAGAGTGACTTGTAAACAGGTCTCTTCCTCTTCTCTTTAGAAGCATTGACTTTCCAAGAAATAACTATATTATTTAAGATGAGGCAATTAAGGAGAAAGCAATCCGCATTGCTTGTATTAAGAAAAATAAATCTAACAAACAGATGAACTAAAGTGTTCTCAAGAGAGAAAAATACAATGAAGGAAGCAACCATTAGAACTTTACTATATATAAAAATGTTTGTTATGATAGTATTATATTACTCCCTCCTTTTGCAGGCACTCATATTTTATGTGAATTATCATATAAAACATAAATACTTAAATTTTTCCCTTTCCTGGGAATCCACCAGATGTGTTTAATTTTCACTAACTTAAATTTTAAGATAAAAAAGGGACTTAGTCTTTCTTAAGTGGAGCATATATTATGACAATAATTACATAACGTACTCTGAGAATTGGTTAGGACTACAACCCATCACTGTCTAACAGACTTCTTCAAATATTTGCATCGCCCACCAGTTCCTATGCTCAAGTACAGCAGAACTCAGGCTGCACAGTAGGTGTTAAGAGCTTTCACTGCTCAAGATGCTTTTTTTTTGCTCCTGAGACAAGGTACAGGGGACATATCAGTCAAAACATAAAAAGTAACTTTTCTTTTCCCCCACTACAGGGCATGCACAGTGAAAAATCAATATATAATTATTTTTTTCTTGTTGTTATTAGTTTAAGTTACAGAGGGTTAGAGAGGGACTGGCAATGAGCTGAGTTTCTAGACAAGCTATTTGAAAGGACTGAGATACCAACTCCCATATTTATCTAAGAATGGTGTTAATTCTCTAATGCAGCCAGTTGTACAAACACCTTGATTTTGCATGTCATCTGGACAGTATGAAATGCAAATGGCCAAACAAACTAAGGACATAAACAGTACAAAAGTATGATGCATATATATTCCTATGCAAATGCATAATATAACAGTAAATATACATGTGAAAAAGGTCATAATCCAGTTTTGGTCTTTGAGCAGCAAACCTTTCCTTATCAGTGGTTGCTTGTTACAAAAATGCAGTTGTTTGTTAGAATGTAAACTTTATCTGTACATGATGTTGCTAAGTATAATTTTATTGCCTGCACAGAAAGAGCTTGACCATTCTGCTGGAGACAGGTTTTCTTAATATACTGTACCTGTCCTAATACTACTTTGCTTTATGGCATTTGAGGAAGTAATCACATTTGCGTTACAGTTGAATTGCACTCTGTGTGAGAAAAACTGCATTTACACATCAGCAACAGCCAGGAGTATGAAGTGTGTTAAGTTATACTGAAGATTCATAGTTGATTTCAGTAGCTAGACCTTTCTGGGAGCCATCTCTGAAGAGCTTATTTGCTCATTTAGGCTTGGACTGCTGAAGTCAAGAAGGAAAGAATTCACAATATGTTTTACTTCAAAGAACATTCCCATCTTCTAGGTTTTCCAAGCACACTCAGCCTTTTCCTTTCCATTCTTCTATTGCTTTGAAGGTTGGTCTGCATTCCTAAAATTGGTATAATTCCATGCGTATGAACAGTTATTATAGTTCTTTGTGCAGGCACGATTTCCTTGAGCATAGTGAAACAACCAAATTAAAAATGTAAGTGGCCATGGGAACCTTTTTTATATGGGAAGCCTGTTTACACATCTCTGCCTGCAGTTGTTTTCCTGGCTATAGAGCTGCATTTGTGTGGGTGTGAGCAAGAAATCATTGCA